ATTAAAAATTTTTTCGTTAAAGTTTTCTTTATAAAAAGTATATCAATCTGATTGGATGAACTTGTTTGAAGGATTGCAGCTTAGGACCTGGTCCTGGAATCGATCAACTAACGGTTTTTTGTATTAGGTCTGGGACCGTTGTTTCAGGTCCTAGAACCGGACCGGACCAGATTCGCAATTTAACATCCCTAGTCGAAATTAATCGTAATTGGTTAAAAAAAAAAAACCTCCTAGGCAGAATTTAGACTTTTGTGTAATTTTCTACTAGTTAGAAAAATTTTTCATTGTTTCACAACAGAATTGATTTTTAACGTTAATCAAAGCAAGCTCTTCAAATTTATCATTTTATTTTTTAAGTAGTGTGCAATTGTAAAGGTATTATGGACGAAGATGCAATTAACGGTGATGATAATTTAGATGGTAATAAAGAACAGTTAGAATCATTCTACATAAAAACGCAATTAAGCGAATATATGATCAGGTTGGAACAAGATCTTCCTGTTTCTATTGAAAGCCTTAGCAAGCCAACATCAGATGATGCAAACGCCTGGTTGTTATATATTGAAAATATAAGAGAAAAGTATGAAGAAATAAGACGAGAATTCGAATGGAAACTTGTTGAAGGTTTAATTGAGCATACTTATATGATTTTGCAAGAAGCTGGACGAAAGCCTTTTAAATTTAAAAGTGAACAACTAAAAAAAAAATGGGTCAAAGAAAAGATTGTTTTATCGATTCCGAAGTATCTTTCTAAATCCTCGAAAACACGTTACAACCAGGTATGATATATTATAACAATTTATTATTTAACTATTATATAGAATCAAAAATTAAAAAAATTTTTTATAGGCGTATGATCATATTTATGATGTGATTGTAACTTTCGAAAATAATAAAATACCTAAGGACATCTGGTTACCTATTTAGAATAAAATAGAAATCACAATACGTTTTTTTTGTGAAACAAATTACAAGAGGAAAAACACATATAAACTACTTTATGAAAATTTTATTAATCTTTTAATTGCAAAATGTAAGGAAAAGATTGATGTATAATTTTTTAGACTTTATAGTATTGGTTTGTTCTTTTTAAGCTCGAATATTAATTAGGGTTAAGCTGTAAGTTAAGATATTTTAAGGGGTTTAAACTTTTATAATTCTATATTAGATATGTTTAAAGATGTAAATTATTTGATAATTTTAATTAATAAATATCGGAATTTTAACACATTTACGTACCAGCGTACTATTTTTATAGTCATAATTATAACCAATAAAATAAATGTCGAAAATACCGATAGTCGGTTCTAAACAATATTTTGCATCGTCCTAACTGTTTACACACAAACGATAGTTTCACAACAGCAAACAGTTTCATCAAACATATTAGATCAGTTTATCAGCTTAATTTATTAGCTTAAAAATCATATAATAACAAATTTGGAATCTTTAATATTATTAATTACTAACGTAATGATAAATTAAACCTATCGTAAAATTAAAATTAAAAATCTTAATACGTATTATCATAAGTTTAAAATCTTAGTTTATATTATCCTTTTTTTTCAGAGTACTTTTTGATACAATATTGCTCAAATTCATTCAAAAAAGATTTGAAATTGTCTTCTTATACTTGATATAGATAGTTTACTGTAAGTCCCAACCCTATAAATTGATTAAAACAAAAATCAATCAGAATATTATTCTCTTGTAATTTAGAATTTTCTATTAATAAAACAATATGATTATAAAACTTTTTCCAACGTGAAAATTTATTAAAAGAACTATTTTGAGAATCATAACCAGGTATTGAAAACTTAATTAGCTTGTTAATCTCTTCTTTTTGCAAATGTTCATTGGTTTGCTTAACTTGATTATATATCGCATGAGCATGGTTTGCTCGATAATAAAATTTCTCTCAATCGAGGTTAATTTGAGTCTGCTCTTTGTGTTTTTTTAATGCAATAAGAACTTGCTGCCAGCCTTAATAGTTGTCAATTTTAATATTAGGAGTATAATCAGGATTAATTAAAGAGGTCTCCTCTTTTAGTCTGGAAATGTAAAAATTTGTCTGTTTTGTTTTATTTTTTTTGGCTCGGCCATTGAGAAGAAAGTGAAATTGATTGTGGAACCATTTAACATTAAATGCTGATCATATATTTGTATTAGTTAAAAAATCTGGACCCTAAAAAATAGGGTGAGTCAACAGAAATCTAGCTGATCTAATTGAGTCAATTTACATTCCTGGAATCAACTATTTTTGTGTAACTATACTTCACAAATAATTTCAAGCTGCTGCATTAAAAAATCTCAATTTTGACGACCCGAAAAATAAGCCCGTGGTCTGCACTATGCCAACTTTTGCCTGCATTATAATGATTTTGGTCTGCATTATATGAGTGCGTGAGAGTGAAAACCTGGAAGTAAATATTAGGCCCCTAACGCTAAAAAGTCATGATCAGTGTCTTGGTAATTTTAGTAACGATATAAATCAAGTCACCAAAATTAACAATAAAACCTGTTCTTGTAATTTTCGTATTACAGTAAGCCAAATAAAGTTGCATCTAATTGTAAGATCGGTATGTAACATACAAATGCGAACTAAAAAAAAATAATGACGAAAAAAAAAAACGAAATCGCAAAAAAAAAATTATAAATTCACAAGAAAAATTGGTCTTGTTATTATGTAAAAGTTTCAGCACAAAAAAATTTAGATATATTCTTTTTACTTTATATTAATGCAATTTTTTAGACGAAAATTAGGATATCATTGTTATTTATTAGTCATGGGACCGCCAAATTTTTGCGCCATCACTATTTCACTTGAGTCTGTAGTCTGAATAATTTTATACTACAGCTCTTATAAATTCTGAGATGTTACTAGTAATTTCCAGTTTTTTGATTTGAAAGTTGCATACTCTTATAAGTTTCTAATTATTTTATAAATTTCATATGTACTTGGTATGAATTATTTCATTTTAATATATCTTATTATTTAATAATTTAAATATAGTGACATAAAAATCTATTGGAACAAATATAGAGTTCGTGACTACCAAATGAAATGATTTTATATTAAAGCTGGTTGTTCAACATAACTGTACAAGTGTTTCCACAGTCATAAGTACTGAAGTATAGAATTTATCCAGTTTACTTTATCTACCTTTTTTTTATATGTGGAATCTTCATTTTATTTGCGAATTAGTAAAATTATATAATAGCATATATTATTTAACAGGAGGAACTGTCGATGTTACATGACTGATTTTTCACCTGGTGTGAACCATATAAAAAAATTATTTTACAATACCAGATCATTCTGTTAGTACATATTATAATTATAATCCAAGACCATTTTTATTATAATAAAATGGTGTTGGATTATAATCATAACATGTACTAGCAGAATGATTTGGTATTGTAATGTAACATCGACGGTTCCTCCTGTTATTATCGAGAAAATATAACCAAGTTTTTTGCTTTGCTTTTTTTAATCTTGTTTTTTAAATAGTGTTACATTGCCACCATACCTTATACCTTTTTGATATACGTGAGTATATAAATATATATATCAAAAATTTATATATAAATATTCTTAACTTAATCTTGTTTACACGAGAATTCATTGAACTAATATCTAATAAATTGACTTGCTCATTCTTTCTTATCCGGCAAGACAGATCTTTCTTTGAATACATAGGTTGTTCATATTAAACCAAAAGGTTTTTATTATATTTTATTTTAAATATATTAAATAGTATAAATATTACAAACTGATAATGTTTTAATTTTGTTTACATGAGAATTCATCGAACTGAATCTTATAAATTCCTTATCCTTTTCGTTTACTGCAAGACAAATCTTTTTTAAATGCCTAGGTAATAATTTTTTTTCAGAAAATGCGCGCGAAATTAATTTCACAGAATATTTAGTTTATAAAACTTATGATTTTAACTTTATTAATGATAAAACTAGGCTAGATTTAAAGTAATTAGTTTAACTATTGATCATGAATTGGTTACAAACCATGGTAAGAACATGACTGAATAATTTAATTCAACTAATAAATTATGTTTAAAAATCTATAAACTAATGCAAAATTTGTTAAAATGATTAGAATATAATCAAGATTATTTGGAAGGCATAATGAAGAATTATCTTATTCAATTAATTGTTTCAAACCCTGGTAAGTATAAAATAAAACGTGACTTATGTGAAGGACTTGAACACGGTTTGATTTAGAGTAACAAAGTCAATAAGTTAATATATTATTCCCTACACTAGGTTTATCAGTTAATGATGCTCTGAATTTTTTGGATAGATATAGATCCTCAAAATATTGTGAATAATTATACAAAAGAATCTAATTCGAACATATTGTTGTTTCACTATTTACAGTGTAAACTTCAATTTGGTCGATTTTGATACACATGATAATAGACATAAATACTTCTCATTGCTTGTTCTACATTATAAAAAAAAACATTTAATAATTTTCATCTCCTTATGACAAGACCGATCGAAGACATTCAACAAAATATAGATCAAACTTTCAATTTGGTCGTTGAAGATTTTATTTTGTATGATAATAAATAATCCTTCACAATTGTTTTAAATAATAAAAAAAACACCTTTAATAATTTTCATCTTCCTTTATAAAAAGAATGATCGAAAATGATGTTACAAAAATCCATGCTCTGAGCAAGTATGTTAGTTAAACACAAAACTGCTTAATTTAATTTGTTATTACTGATCTTGGTAGTAATACTAATATAATTTTTCAATATGTAGTATTAAAACTTCAAATGATAATTCTAACAGGTATAAATGCTTTCAAATTCATCTAATAACTATTTGAATTATACCTCTAATATTTTTTTTCATTGACATTAGTGTTCTTAATGATGACAGGTATTATTTACTCTCTTTCAATTGAGTGATAAGTAATAAAGAAATTAAATAATATCTATTCTAAACATAATACTACCACTACAAGATTTCGACATTTCACACTCACTAAGAAACGTAAAAGAAACATTGGTCAATATCTGGAAGAAAAGAGAAAAATTAAAGTAAAGGAGGAAAGAAAAAGGTAAGAAGATATTAATAACAGTTTGGCTTTATTCCAAAAAGAGCTTAAACTCCCTGCCACTTACTATAATCGTAAATTTAGTAATGCTGCTTAATTAAAAAAAGGTGATACACTTTTTTTATAATTATTTGGATCTATTTAATATACTGATACAAGCGCTTTGTTAGCTGCCTCTGAAATACAAATTAAACGAAATAGTTTGACACATCTTCAAGAAAAGGTTAACAGTTTACAAGCAAAATGTATCAAATTGAAAACAGAATTGGACAATGTGAAAATGTAAATATTTAAGTTTTCAATTTTTTTTTTTTTTTGATGAATTTTGATCTTAATGCTTAAAATTATTAATAGGATGAATGAAATCTACAGGCAAAATCATGGGCAAATATATGCGATGACAGATGATTAATATCTTAGTGATGTGATCCGATTGAATAAAGTTAATAATATTAACTTTAGATTTATGAAAAGTATGAATATAATGATGATGAATCTAATATAATTACTAATATAATTACTATACCACTAGATGAGATTTATGAGTGTGAAAATAATGATGACAGATCTCTTGTAATTACTTCGGAAGCTTTAAGTAAAGCTAAAGTTTATCTTAATATCATCAAAGAAATAAAAAATAAAAATAAAAAATTTATTTACA